TTGTTCCCTCTTGGATCCCTCCCCCACACACAGCACCACAATGCAGCAATGTGGGTTGCCCTGCCATGGCCAAAACCTAAGGCTCTGCCCCTTACTACACAACATGTGCACTAAGAAAAAAAAATATGGCCCAAGTGAAAGAACAGATCAAAGCTCCAGAAAAAATACAACTAAGCAATGAAGAGATAGCCAACCTATCAGATGCATAGTTCAAAACACTGGTAAACAGGATGCTCACAGAAATGGTGAGTATGGCTACAAAATGGAGGAAAAAGTAGAAGCTATACAAAGTGAAATGAAGAAAAATGTACAGGGAACCAATTGTGAAGGAAAGGAAACCAGTACTCAAATCAACAATCTGGAGTAGAACACAGAAATAAACATTCAACCAGAACAGAATGCAGAAACAAGAATACGAAAACATGAAGAGAGGCTTAGGAACCTCCAGGACAACATTAAACATTCCAACATCCAAATCATCTGGGTACCAGAAGGAGAAGAGGAAGAGCAAGAAATGGAAAACTTATCTGAAAACATAATGAAGGTGAACTTCCCCAATCTGGCAAAGGAAATAGACTTCCAAGGAAGTCCAGGAAGCTCAGAGAGTCCCAAAGAAGTTGAAACCAAGGAAGCACACACCAAGCTGCATCATAATGACATTACCCAAGATTAAAGATAAGGAATATCAAAAGCAGCAAGAGAAAAGGAGAGAGTTACCTCCAAAGGAGTTTCCATAAGACTATAAGCTGATTTCTCAAAAGAAACCTTGTAGGTGAGGAGGGGCTGGAAAGAAGTATTTGAAGTCATGAAATGGGCAAGGGCCTACATCCAAGATTACTCACTCTAACCAGCAAAGCTATCATTGAAATGGGAGGGCAGATAAAGTGCTTCCCAGATAAGGTCAAGTTCAAGGAGTTCATCATCACCAAGCCCTTATATGAAATGTTAGAGACTTATTTAAGAAAAAGATGATCAAAACTATGAACATTAAAATGACAACAAACTCACAACTATCAACAACTGAACCTAAAACCAAAACCAAAACCAAAAACAAACTAAGCAAACAGCTAGAACAGGAACAGAATCACAGAAACAGAGATCACATGGAGAGTTATCAGTGGGGAGGAGGAGAAGGGAGAAAGGGGCAAAAGGTTCAGGGAATAAGAAGCATAAATGGTAGGTACAAAATAGACAGAGGGAGATTAAGAATAGTATAGGAAATAGAGAAGCCAAAAAACTTATATGTATGACCCATGGACAAGATCTAAGTGGGGGGCGGGATGCAGGCAGAGGGGAATAAAGGGGGGAGATCGGACAACTGTAATAACATAATCAATAAAATATATTTTTTTAAAAAAGGAAGAGTTCAAAAGGAGCAAGATGCATCCTGCTCACCAATTCAGAATAACAAAGCACAGGACATAACACTGGCTGAGTGGGAACAGGACTGCTTAGCAGAGGTGATGACATCCTTATCCTTTAGTGGGTTTTGACCTCAAAACTGGCCTTAGTTTTTAGGCCTCTTTTTGATGCTCAACACACAAAATTTTAAAAAGGAAAATTTCATTTTAATATAGCTTCACCCCAACATGTGTTTCACAGAGACCTTATTTTTTAAACAGTTTAATACATTATAAAATTTGAAAAACTGTAAGAAAGCAGCAGACTCAAACTGGTGCAACTCTAACAAGTAATAATTCTGGCCCCTTTGCAAAACTGATTAATTTAAAAACAAAGTAATGTTCACATCTGTGAGGCTGACAAAGTGTGACTTCTGTACAAACTACATTGAAAATTTCATGTCTAACGCCTTTCAAATGCAGTGTGCTCCTGAGCTTTTCTGAAGTCCTGTCTGGTCCCAGCCAAAAAAAAAGGACATGAAATCTCCACATGCAAAGATACTGAGTTAAGGTGTGGGGGTTTTTTTTTCTTTTTTTAAAAAAAAAAGGAAGAAAGAAAGACAAAGGAAAAAGAAACAATGGATGGCTGTTAGCAATGGAAACTGTAAGGACATGTCCTCACTGCTCTTGGCTTATAGGTCAGAGGCCTTCAGAGGCCTAGGACACTTCAGGGCCATCACAGCACCAACTGTAGCTACCATTTTTTGCATTTCCTAGTTTTGACACATATATATTTATATAATGTTTACACCTTGAAGATATCACTATTTCAATCGTTCCCATACGAACATGGGTATGGTCTCTATCAGGGGAAAAAAATTATTCATTTTTTTTTTTTGAGAGAGGGAGAGAGAGAGAAAAACATTAATTTGTTGTTCCACTTATTTATATATCATTGCTTGCTACTTGTCTGTGCCCTGACTGGAGATCAAACCAGCAGCCTTGGCATACCAGGATGATTCGCTAACCAACTGAGCTACCTGGCTAGGTCAGTAAGGATACTTTTTTTTTTTAAGAAAAAGATCTAATTTTGTTTGCGACTTTTGTGAGATTGTCACAAAATTCTACCAGGTGAGCAGCAGTATCACAGACTGATTAAACCAGGGGCCAATTTGCTTTCCTTTGAAACCCAGAGGCTGGGATTCCTAAGGCACCAACCACCCTTCAGTTTCCTTCTTCCTTATGGAGTACATATACACTGCTATATTTTACTGCTGCCAAGAGACACTTTAAACTCCTTGGTCTGATAGTCAACACCTTTCACTGTCCTTCACCTGCAATGCTAAGATCTCACCTTTTCAAAATATCCTACCCAGACCATTCTTATATAAAATTGTAAGTCTCACCTCTCATCAGCACTGCTGATTTTCCCTTCCAAGTACTAACCAGGCCAACCCTGCTTAGCTTCCCACCCAGATCAGAGGAGATTTGGCAGTTCTGCATGCATTGACTTTAGACAGCACTCCTGACTTTCCTTACCCTGATATGCTATTTCTAACCAGTTACCATCATCTAGTATAATGAATAATGTGTTTATTTGTTGCATTTGCTATCTATTATCTGTTCCTTTCCATTAAAAGGTAAGTACCACAATAGCAGGGACTTTTGTTCCTTTGATTTACTAATTAATTCCCAGTGCCTGGAAGAGCACAGTACATAAGTAAACATGCAATAACTATTTGTTGAATGAATACTGGGCTTACAAGGAGATGGTACTGAAAAGAGGCTGCCCTTTTAGGTTGGTCATGTTTTTGATAGTTCCTCAGTTCCACCTGGCCCATTTCATTTCTCTGTTTGGCTGGTCCCTGCAGACTTGAGTTTGTGACACTTCTTTTGTCCCTGCCTCTTGCCACTGATTTCCTGGTATCATATTAATGTTTTCATCAGAATAGTACTCAAAAAAAAAAAACCCCAATAAAAAAAACCCTAGATGTCATAAATGCAGTCTGTGAAATCACCCATCATTCTTCTCTTTTCCTCCTCGAATGATCTCCTTGCACATAGTACAAACTCGATAAATAGTTATGGACTAAAGTGCTTCTTTGGCATTTCTGTCAAATATTTCCTCCCTCCCTTCCCACCAAATCTCACCACTGCCAGTTGCTGACCACCATGTAGGAAAGCCCTGTTTTTCTCTTCTCTGGTATCTTCCAGACACACCACAATAAATGCCACCCTTTGTGATGACTTGGATGATCACTGAAGGGTACCTATGCATTGCTGCCCTATCAGCTTTAGGCCAGAAAATTCTAACGAACTATTTTAGGGGTGGATACTTCAGAGCTACCCAGTACCGTTCTTCTAAACACCTAACCAGAACTGCCACATCTTTCCTGAAGTTCCTGTTTCTGCCTGGTAACAGTAAAAATATTATCTTTGTAGATAAATATTCCAAGTTGTTCAAAATGTTTCCAACTCTGCTACAGTTGCCTAAAACCTGACTGAAGCATTGCATTTGTTGCCTAAACTAAACTGATCAATTTCAGAGGCTAAAAAGCCTTTGATTTTTCTTATTTGGATTCTGTTCAATTTTATCTTTTAATAACTCATCTTAAACCTCATCTTAACATGTAAGCCCCACATTGCTTTTAGGAGATGGAAGCATGAGTCTTTTTCTTTTTTTAAATAAAAATCCCTCCAGGAAAAGGATCATTTGATTTGACAGTTTTCCACACCTGGCATCATACTACGCAACTAGCCCAGGACAGTCTAAATGTCCTTGTGTATGTGGGGGTGCGGCAGAATGATTCTGGGCAGAATGATACTAGGGAGAGGGAAGTCATAGAGGTTTCACTGGGCAGGATTTTTACAAATGAGGTTTTTGTAACTTCATGAGGTAGTTCGTATAGTTGAAAGCTTGATGTTATTTTTCACCACTGTCCATAAAGTTTAAAATAGGAAAAAATTAAAAGAATCCATGGAACAAAAGAAATTCCTACAAGAATTTTTCCTTTCTCATATGATGTGAAACTTAACCACCCCTCCTCCCCAAACAGTAAACGCACAATGGCAAATGCATAATAAAAAACAACTAATGGTGGCTGCTATTTTTGTAAAGATGTGGGACTGCTCACAAGCACAGAGACATCTGGCGGCTGGGCAAAGGCACTAGGCCCAGAAAGTGTTTCTAAAGAACTGCTGCCTGTTTTGTAATTTGTACAGGATCTCCGCAGCCCTGAGTAACTAGGTCTATGTTGCTTGTGGAGAGAAGAAAGGAGGAGTTGGGGAAATCAGAGCTGGACAGAAACATAATAGCATCATCTTTAGACAACTTCCTAAGAAAAAAAAAGAATATGGATTTATTGGGTGGGGGGGTGGGAGATAGAGGCTGTCCTATTTCTAAAGTCTTCCTGTAATTTTAAAAAATGGGGGGGGGCAGTATGTAGCAGTTTTTGTTTTGGCAAACACCCAATAATACTGTACTCTCAAATTCACTATCATTTCATGTTAGTAAAATCATATTCAGAATTATGCTTAAAATTTGAAAACTTACTCAGATATCTTAAATTTAAAAACCATCATCCTTTGGTAAAACTTGCTCTGTTATACTCCAAGAGCATCCCATTTTTTCAGCTGTGCTATGCTGGAATAGCCAGTTACCTTTTCTTTGGAGGGCAGGCCAAAACTGCTGATCAATTTACCAATGGATCTTCATCTGCTGTGACTGTGGAAGTGCCTTCTTCTTAATTCCGTTCAGATCTACAGAGAAAAGGGGCAAAGGAATGAAACAACAGGTAAAGCTAACTAGAAATCTACAATCTCATTAGTTACCAGATGTTCCAAAATTATTATATGTACTATGAAATATCAAAGTGTTAAAATTTGAGGCACTTTATCAATTTTACAACAAATGTAATTCAGTTTTTTTTACAATGAACTTAATTGGCTATATTTACAATAAACTAAGAACAAATGACTATTCAACATGTACACAGAGAAGGCTCCTGGGGCTTAAAGTATTGTGAATAACTTGCCACTAATGAGTTTTCAATTAATTTGTAAAACGGCTATTCAGAAAACCTGCTCCTATGAAACCTGTCAGAATCACAGATTTAAAAACACACACACATTGAATGAGATTATTATTTGGGGAGCTCCCTCTGTCCTTTAACACCTACTGTTTATAAAAGCAATTCATAATACCACAAACAGGAAACAAAAACTTAAACCATCTTCCTAAAAAGCACAAGAAAACTGTGTTCCATTACCTATATATTTTTGTGCATATGTGTGCATGTACATTTCAAGTACAATGTAGCTACTATTCAAATTATTGTATTTTGGGGTGGATCACTGAGTTAAGGAGTCAAGGAACTGGAAATTAACAAACCAGAGTTAGAAATTTAACTGGTTTTCATGTTTGACTTGCAGAAGAAGAGAACAACAAATATGGGCAATGACACAGCTATGGAGCAGATGCTGAAGCATAAAGCAGAAGGCAGCCTGATATCACATGAAAAATTCACCAGCAATCCACTTCTCTTCCTACAATCCTCATTGGCTATCACCAAGGTCACACGACAGGATTATTGCTTTGATCAACTTTCCTTATTTTCATAACTCTGAGATGGTAAGTCAAATATTTCTATGGTGTGAGATATTAACAAAGCATCTTGGAAAGTTAGTAGCTGAAACTCTACGCCATGTTTTGAACACTTACTCTTAATTATCTTTATTGGCTTTTAAGTTATTCCTGTATCATATCCTTCCACTCTCCCTTTTTTAGACAGTTTCAGTTTTACTCACCCACAAAATGTTATTCAGTGCTGTAATCACTAGTAAAGTGATCATTCCTACAATCTTTATAAGCCAGGTGCTTCTCTTCCCCAGATTTATATTTCCTTCCCAGTCTCCCATCTTTTAAAATTTTTCTCTGATTTTCATTTTAGTGTTTCTTTCCTGCTTTCTTTCCAGTAAAACCCATCATCTTGTTTAACATGTCTGTCCTGAGCCAAAATGCCTTTCTTTGCATCCTAAATACTGAAGGCAACAGTCACTCAAAAGAAGCTACAAATTACCAGGAAGAAGATAGCCAATAAAGATGTTATATGTTAGAGATAACCATTTGCCTTACTAATGGTGATTCCTTCAAAGTACACTTGAGGTAGAGGTGGAACAAAACCAGCATCAGATTAGACTCTGCTTGATCTTATTTCACTGGGTCAAGCTATTTTTCAGTTTTCCATCAGGACACTCCACTATATCTCCAAAGTATACAAGGAAGCCATCAGATTTTAGGTGCTATCAAATTTCTCCCAAGATAGTATTTATCATAAAAAATTATCATAGAATTTATCATAAAAACAATTCTCTTTTTTCCAGTCCACATACCTTAAAAATGTTTTAAAGGAAACCCTATTCTTAGAGGAAAATGGTAGTGGCAGTTACTAAAAATAAGCACGTAAAAATAGTAACTTCTCTACTTAGAAGAGGGGGTCAGAAATCTTTCTTTCATAGGGGAACAAACTATCATATGTTTGTACATATTCTCTCATTTTATCTTCACAATGGCACTGCTCAAAAGAGCAGTTATTATAATCTCTATTCTGCTAGTGAACAAGCAGAGTAAGAGAGGTCATAATTTGCTCAAGATTACCCAGCAAATAAATGGTTTGAAATTGGAACTAGGATGGAAGCCTTTGGTGCTATTTAGTTCCCTTTCCAGTACATCAAACTGCCTAAACAGCAACTTCATTTTGTTTTGCCAATAGAAAGAGAAATAGTTTAAAACATAGACTGGGGAACACTGTCTAAGAATGGAAACAAAATTTGATCGTTTTTATTTATTCACTACCAGTAGGTAGTAAAATGTAACCAGCATTCAACAAATACAAAATTTTTAAAGATTTATTTTAAATGACAGAGGTGAGACAGAACAAGAAAAAAAAAAAGGACGTAACTTAAATGTTCTCTAGTCATGAAAGGATAAATTTAATTTATTTACTCTTTATTTTTTTGAGGGCAGGAGGGTGAGATAGTAGATGTTGCCACTCTTTGAGTTACTGCCTAGCCCATGGTGACTCTTTTTCTTAGCACTATGTAATTCTCAACTACACGCCAAGTCATATTTATTCTATGGGAGTCCCAACTGCTCCCATGTTAGCCAAAGTTGGACACATAACCCAAAGTGAGATTCAACTTGTTTCTCTTGAAACTAAAAACTGGAATGAAGAGGGTCTATTCTGTTCTAGGCTGCAAGCAACCCCCATGTGCTTTAAGTCCACAGGAAAGAACCAGTAGGCAGAGAAAAGAATAAACATGCTGCTCAAAGCGAAAGGGACCCAAGAGGCCACCTAAGCCTACAGAAGAGAACGGAAAACAGTTTCTTCTTGGCACTCTAGGTCTTTTCTGTCCCAAGTCTAGTCCCCAGAGACCCAAGCGCTTCTTCCCTAGACTTTCAAGAATTCCCTGGACCAGTAGGGAAATTGGCCCCCTTCTGAGCTTAAATCTTTTCCAGTTGATTTCGGATAACTGCAACAATAAAAATCTTGTTCAAGACAGTTAAAACTTTTGTATTAAAAAAATAAAAGGACAGATATCACTAGAAATTTTTATAAAAGAAGATCCAGTGCCCAAAGGTTCAGAAAAATCCTCTCATTACCTTTAAACAACGAAAAGCCTATACTGTTTCATGGGCAGCATTCTATCAACTTTTACAGAGAAAATGACTTATTTTCTAGGAGTAACACCTCTAAGTCCTTTTAAGACTCTGAGAGCCTTGTTGCAATTTAAGGCATAATCTGGAATATTCTTGTTACACAGTAGAGTCTGTAAAAATTAAGCAAAAACCTACTAGCCATGATAAAGAAAAAGAAAAAAAATAGGCTAAACTGAGCAGTCTTGTTTTGAAGCACAATACAAATTTTCTTTTTATTTCAGAAACTTTCTTAAATTCTAGGTAAACCATGGAGCTGTAATATGAGAATGGCACCCTGGGTGCTTAGGGAGGCATCAAAAAGAAGAGAGAAGTCTGGAGAGGTAGGCCCCATAAGGAGGCAACACAAGTTTTGACTTGATTCTGTCTTCTAAGTTAGAGCTGAGGGAAAGCTAACTCCTATCTTTCCATTCTATATGTGAAAAGACTGAAAACCAAGGGAAGTTCACACAAGCTGGTCTCTTTGTTTAATCAAACCATGTTAAGTGTGTGCTCCCTTGACAGGTACTGCGCCTGGCACTGGAATCAGCAGTATGTCCAGCTTAGACACCTAACTCATTATGCTATGCATTTCTCTCCACTCTTTGACCCTCACTGCAAACAGAAAGTCCAGAGGCCTACAATAGTTCACTATTTTTTGGCTCTCTGGTGATCTTAGGGAAAAAGAAAAAAAATTGTTACTAATATTTAAAAAGTGGCAATATTCACATAAAATGTCATGTTCTCATTTTCTCTTGGAATGTCCAAAAATCTGCTTAGGGACAACTGGGTGATGCTATGTCCTGTGCAGCCTCTTGTCATTTCTTTCTAAGGCACCCACCTTTCTGAGTCACTTATTTTCTTGCCAGGCCTGTCTTCTATAGGCAGTCAAACTTGTGACTCTGGGCCTATGTTGTTTTCCTAAGTTTCTTCTCCCAAATGAAAAACTACAAATTAAACAATATTTTTTTATTTTTATTGATTCTAGAGAGGGGGAGAGAAATACTGATGTGAGAGAGAAACATTGATCAGTTGCCTCTTGCACACCCCCAACCTGGGACCTGGCCCACAACCCAGGCATGTGCCTGATGAACTGACAACTTTACAATTTGCCAGATGATGCTCAACAAACTGAGTCACACAGGCCAGGGCGAAAACCCACAAAATTTAAAAGCAGGTTACATGTCAGTGGTAGGGATATTCTACAGAAATCTGAATTAATGAGGTTCCCAGTATACTTGCAGTCCTCCTACCCAAGTTCCATTTTGCTTTTACTCTGGCCAGCTTTCTCCCTGGCCAAGCAAATTTCAGAATGAACCTCTATGTTCCATACAACCTCTCTTTTCAGTCATGCTACTGGGTATTCCCCTTTTTGAAGCTCAGCTGGAGATTTTGCAATTAATGCTCTCAGGGTCACTCCACTGAATACCAAATGAGAGTTTGAAAACAACTGGTAAAGAAGAAGATAAAACCACTTACAAGGAAGAACTATAACACCTCTGGACTAAGTTTCATTAATACATTTTAGCCCCTGTGGGCAGTCTTGGACTTCCCCACTCCACATGAAACTCCTCACAGTCTTAACATTTTTAAAGGAGCTTCCATTTTCTGACAGCTTCTACACATCTGCACATACCCACAGCTCTCTTCGATCCAAAGGGTTCCATACTACCATCCTGCGCTCCCTTCACTATTTAAGGTCTCACAGCTCTCCCATCTCAAGTCCTCTCTCCCAGGCTTCACTGAGGTTAACTGGTCTCTTTTTCCTTTTAGTTCAGAGATCAGCAAACCATTTCTCCATCAATTATGACTACAGCATGCTATTTCATCATCAGCCCAACAGAGAACCAAAGATATAATAAAAGTCCAGTAGTTCTCCAATTTGTCTCCATGCCGAAATCCTTGGTCAATTAAGTACATTTTCAGGTTGATTTTCAAAAGCACATGACAAAAAGAGTAGTAGCAGCTGATATTTACTAAGCACTTATTATGTGCCTATCATCTCACTTAGTCCTCTCAGGTCTGTGATACAGGAACTATTACTACACACCTTTAGCAAAAAGAA